TGGCTCTTTAGGCAGGCCTTCCCTTCTGTCAATCCTTGAATTCTATCTTTTGTTCTATCATTCCTCATCTTGAACACACCATATTATTGATTTAATTGTTTAATGATTATGTTGTTTTATTGTATTTTATAATATTTTATGACATTTGTAAGCAGCCCCGAGTGTCTAGGGGGGCGGGGTAAAAAAAATCTAATAAATAAATAAATAAATAAATAAATAAATAAATAAATAAATAAATAAATAAATAAATAAATAAATAAATAAATAAATAAATATTAAAGGAACTTCTTGGGAAAGAAAGTTCAAAGGAATGTCAATTTTAATTACTCATTTTATGCCCTTTGTGTGTTTCCTATACAGCTATGTTTTATGGTTGCTTCTGTACACCGTCTTTATAAGCATTGCTGTTGTCTACAAGGCTTTCTCTACTGGCTAGTATGAATAAACACTTCCTAAAACTTCAATATGCCTCATTACAAATTCTTAATAGAAAAGTTCTCCACAGGAACAAGTTCCTTTAAACGTAAGAGGAATTACTTCTCAGTAGATGTACATAGGATTGTGTTACAGAACACAGCCTAGTAGAATCTGTTTTATTTTTTAGACTCAATCAAGTGTGCACAGGTTCAATCCCAGGATGACTGAATGTAATCCTACCCTAATAATAATAATTGCATGCTGCCAAGTCAGTTCTGACTTATGGCAACCCTTTCCAGGGTTTTCTAGACTTCGACCATACAGACGTAGTTTACCGTTCCCTTCCTTTGAGACCACTTTGGAACTATGCAGCTTGCCCAAGGCTACTTAGGCAGACTCTTTTCTTGAGACTCTCAGCCCTCTGACTCCGCAGCCAGATACTTTAATTCCGTCAGTTCAGTCCTAAACTACATAGAACATATTCAATGTGGCATGTAGTTTGGCCACAGGGGGTCCCACATCAGCATCACCTTTCCTTGAGATTTCAGGAGCAAACCATGAATCCAGAAGGCATATCTTTGCAATGTCAGGTAGAACAGACAAAAGCAAACAAATCCATATAAATGAAACAGTTTTGCACTGTACCAGTGAGTTCTGGCAGATGGAGGTGGAACAGGCAAAATTTGGGAGCAAAGCAAACAAATACATATAAATGAAACACTTTTGCACTGTACCAGTGAGTTCTGGCAGAAGGTAGGAACAGATGGGGACAGCTGCCCATGCTATAAAGTCACCTCATATATTGAAATCAACCTATCCAGATGTTTGTCTTCCCTTCTGGAGACCCAGAGAAGCCCTCACTAAGGCTTCAGCTACCACTCTGAGATCTAACCATCCTAGCCTTTCATTCTTATACAGTATAGGGTGACTTCAAGCCATCTGCCGCCATACCCTTACAGAAAGTATCTGTATAGAAAGCGCCTCCCGTCCAGTACCTGCTGAGAAACCGTAGTCCAGCACATGTTGGTATACTTATACATATATGGGATTATATGGTCCCCATAGTATTTTTCTAATGTCACAAGGTTTATCATCTGTTTCATCCTTCCATCAGTCTCAAAGCAAATTCTTTGCCACAATGTTCCTTCGATGATGATTTTATACTTATTTATTTCATAAGCCTTCATGTCCCATCCTGATGATGCTTGAACATAACCCAAATGGCTAGCACCAGTGAAAACCAATCACAAAATACAGACAAACAAACCCAGAAACGGATTTTAAATACAATCCTCTTCTTACTTATCTAAGAAAAAAACTGCCTTGAACGTAACAGGACATGTATGTAATTGCACGGTTAAAGACGTTAGCAAATTCATAATTGGGGTTTATAATTATACATGGTGCAGGTCACATATTCAATGCTCCTGTACTAAACATTTTTTCTTTGAAGTATGTCATATGAGTTTTTATGGAATGTAATTTTCAAAGATGCATGCTTACTCTTGCAGCCTTCTTCTGAATTCCAGCATCTGAAGCAACCACACTTTATATGGAAAAATGTCTTTCCTTCCAGGAACCACAGGGATTGCTTGATGCATCCAATAGAGCAGGCTGCAGTCTACAAAAACTTATGCCAAACAAAACCTATTAGTCCTTAAGGTGCCAAGAGATTTTTGGTTGTTTTTCCAACCGCAAATCAGTCTAGCATTAATAAATGCCTTTAATCAGGCATTAGAGTTTCCCTCTTCTCTTCAACACTGTCACTGAGCGCAAGACCAAGATTACCCACACTCTTGTCCTTCCAGTCACCATGCATGGGTGTGAAAGCTGGATGGTTAAGAAGTAAAGGTTCCCCTTGACAATTTTTGTCCAGTCGTGTTCGACTCTAGGGGGCGGTGCTCATCCCCGTTTCCAAGCCATAGAGCCAGCGTTTTGTCCAAAGACAATCTTCCGTGGTCACATGGCCAGTGCGACTTAGACACGGAATGCTGTTACCTTCCCACCGAGGTGGTCCCTATTTATCTACTCGCATTTGCATGCTTTCGAACCGCTAGGTTGGCGGGAGCTGGGACAAGCAACGGGTGCTCACTCCATTGCGTGGATTCGATCTTACGACTGCTAGTCTTTGGACCCTGCAGCACAGGCTTCTGCGGTTTAGCCCACAGCGCCACCACGTCCCCACATGGTTAAGAAAGCTGACAGGAATGGTTCATTTGAAAGGTGGTGCTGGAGAAGAGCTTTGCGGTTACCCTGGACTGCCAGAAAGGTGAACAAGTAGGTCCTAGATCAGATTGAGTCTGAACTATCTCTGGAGGTGAAAATATTGAAGTTGAGCTTGTCCTGTTTTGGACACATCATGAGAAAGCAGGATACTCTGGAAAAGACAATAATGCTGGGAAAGGTTGAAGGCAGCAGGAATAGAGGAAGACCAAATTAGAGATGGACTGACTCCCTATATGAACCACAGGCTTGAGTCTGCAGCAGCTAAGTAGGACTGTTGAGGACAGGACATTTTGGAGATCTCTCATTCATAGGATCAGCATAAGCAGAGACGACCCGATGGCACGAAATAACAACAACTTCTCTTCACTCCAACACACTGAGAATGATTTGAGATAGAAGACTCCTCATTCTACCACTCAAAAGACATTGTGAAGCTATTTTATCTCTACCCCTTTCATGGTCTGTTTGTCTGTTTGTGAATTGAAAAGAAGTGGAAGGAAAGTGTGTGATACAAAGAACAAGGCAGCATACTGTACATCTGTAAAATCTTGTGAACGAGGCAATATCATTGTGACAAAAGTTCATCCACAAGCATTATTTGAAGCAGATCTTCTGTCCAGAAAGTTACTACGGTATTCCTCAATTCAGTTTTGGAGCCCTACTCAGATGTTCTATTCCTACTCAGATGTTCTATTAATATGAAAAGGGGGAGAGAGTGAGGATTTCAGCTGTTCTCCATATCTACAGCAGGGACCTTTTTCTATCTCTGTAGTCACACTCCTCCTACTCAGATGTTCTATTCCTGAGCTTCATTAATATGAAAAGGGGGAAAGAGTGAGGATTGTGCCTGCTCTTCTTATCTACAGCAGAGACCTTTTTCTATCTCTGTAGTCACACTCCGGCCAGAGTGACGCCTAGAATATCAGGATCCTACATAATGAGAGCAAAAGCAATAGAGACTGTGTGCATGTCCTGGCTTCGTTCTGGGGCAGATGACAAGGGCTTGTTTCCCCCTATTTGGCTCGAGACTCAGCACCTCTATTTGAAAAGTACACATTTCCAGGTTCCCTAATGTTGTTCTGGAAAATGGTTACACAGAGGCCTGTAGCCACACGTACAAGCTCCAGACACATAGAGCTACATCATGTAGTGGTGTAGTCACAGCCAGAGTGACGCCTAGAATATCAGGATCCTACATTATGAAAGCAAAAGCAATAGAGACAGCATGCTAGTCCTGTGTATCTCTGCTCTCAGGCTAATGAAACTCAGAAACAGAACACCCAAATTGAATTTTTATCGAGGGCCAACCAGGCTTCATTCTGGGGCAGATGACAAGGGCTTGCTTTCCCCTATTTGGCTCGAGACTCAGCACCTCTATTTGAAAAGTACACATTTCCAGGTTCCCTAATGTTGTTCTGGAAAATGGTTACACAGAGGCCTGCAGCCACACGTACAAGCTCCAGACACATAGAGCTACATCATGTAGTGGTGGTTTAGTCTCTCAGAAAGACCCCAGACTCCTTTACTTTCCATCCTGCCTTCCTTTTTTTTTTTAAAGTAGGTCTTCAGCAGTGTTAAGAGGTCTCAGGGAGCCAGCTAGAGTCTCAGGGAATTGTTGGGTTGCCCAGGCAGTGTGACAACTATGTGAGGAAGAGGTACTGGGAGAGAAGGAGGTCTGATTTTGTCGGTGTGAGGTAGTGTTAAAGCCTGGGCGTGCACTTATTCCCACCTAGCACAAAGGGTCACCAGCTTAGCACAAGAGTGTCTGCTTATCTGTCGGCCTTTTGTGTCCAGTGTTCCATACACCAAGAAGTGAAGAGTGAAGGGAGGAAGGCTAGGGCAAAGCTGGACTCCATCATACCCTTTGGTACAACGGAGGACG